AATCAAAACATCATCTCAGTTGATTTTTTCTTTGATAAATATGAAATGTCCTTCCCCCTTATCTTTTGATTAATTCTGGTTCGACACTTACTTTGTTAGATATTAGAATGCCTACACCAGCTTGTTTTTTAGGTCCCTTTGCTTTGAAAAATATTTTTCCAACTCTTTACTCTAAGGTAATGTCTATTTTTAATATTGAGGTCTGTTTCTTGTATGCAGCAGAAGGATGGATCCTGTTTTTGTATCCATTCTGTTAGTCTGTATCTTTTTACTTGGGATTTGAGTCCATTAATACAGTAAGAACTCAATTACCAGTGATTTTAATTCCTGTCATTTTTGCCATTGTTAGTGGTCATAGTGTGTGTCTATGAGTATTTGTGTGTGTGTGTGTGTGTGTGTGTGTGTGTGTGTGTGTGTGTGTGTGTGTATTTCCCTTCTTTTGGTTTTACTGTTGTGAGATTATTTCCCATATTTTCATGTATGTAGATAAGTTCCTTGTGTTGGAGTTTTCTTTCTAGTATCTTCTGTAGGGCTGGGTTTGTAGACTGATGTTGTTTAAATTTGACTTTATCATGTAATGTCTTGTTTTCTCCAAGTATGGTTATTGAAATTTTTGCTGGGTATAGGTACAGTAGTCTCAGATGGTTTCTATGCAGGACATCTGTCCAGACCCTTCTGGCTTTTAGAGTCATCACCTTTGTTACTTTCTGGTAGCTGTGACCTGTGTTTGGGCAGGGGATGTCTTCTGGAGTTTGGGACTGGAGCACAGTGACAAATGGAGCAGGGACAACTGCTCTGTGTCTGTTCAAGCTAAAGACTGGGCAAGTTCTGAGGGTGCACTGCCTACCAGAAGCCTACATAATCTTCTAGGAGGCATGGCCTGTGGTTGGGCAGGAGGGGTCTGCTTGTGTGAATTGAATGGGGATAGTTCATGGGTGGCTGGCCTTCATGGTCTTCTGGAAGGTGTGGCCTGTGATTGGGGTGAGTCTTTGTCCAATGAAACCAAGTCTTTATCTTATATTTTATTTTGTTGTATTTTATTATTATCCCTTAGAAACATAGTTGTTTTCTAATGAGATACAGAAAGGCAGTGGGCCCAGGTGGGAAGGAAGGTGATGAGGAATTATGAGTATAGGGAGGGGAAACCATAATCAAGATACATTATGTGAGACAAAAAAAATCTATTTTCAAAATATGTAAGATCATTGTATAATTTTGGCTTCTTTGTCAAAAATCAGGTGTTTGTAGGTGTGTGGATTAATGTCAGGGTCTTCAATTCGATTCCATTGATCGATGTGTGTATTTTTTATTTTTTATTTTATAATTTAATTTAATTTTACATATCAAACACGGATTCCCCTGTCCTCCCTCCTCCCGCCCCCTTCCCCCCAGCCCACTCCCCATTCCCATCTCCTTGAGGGCAAGGACTTCCCTTGGGGATTCAGCTCAGCCTGGTAGATTCAGTTGAGGCAGGTCCAGTCCCCTCCTCCCTTCACCCAGGCTGAGCAAAGTGTTCCTGCATAGGCCCCAGGCTCCAAACAACCAGTTCATGCACTAAGGACAGGTCCCAGTCCTACTGCTTGGGGGCCTCCCAAACAGTTCAAGCTAGTCAACTGTCTCACTTATCCAGAGGGCCTGATCCAGTTGGGGGCTCCTCAGCTATTGGTTCATAGTTCATGTGTTTCCACTAGTTTGGCTATTTGTCCCTGTGATTTTTCCAATCATGGTCTCAGCAATTCTCGCTCATACAATCTCTCCTCTTTCTTGCCGATGGACTCCATACCACCCTGAACGCGTCCGATCTCATCTGATGTGTCTGTTTTTATGCCAATACCAAGCTGTTTTTATTACTATAGCTCTACAGTACAGCTTGAAGTCAGGGATGTTAATGCCTCTGGAAGTTCCTTTATTGTACAGGATTCTTTTGGCTATCCTGGGTTTTTTTGTTTTTCCATATGAAGTTGAGTATTGTTCTTTCCAGGTCTGTGAAGAATTGCATTGGGATTTTGATGGGGATTGCATCGAATCTGTAAATTGCTTTTGGTAAATTGCCATTTTTACTATGTTGATCCTAATAATGCATGAGCATGGGAGATCTTTCCATTTTCTGATATCTTCTTCAATTTCTTTCTTCAAAGATTTAAAGTTCTTATCATACAGATCTTTCACTTGTTTGGTTAGAGTTACCCCAAGATATTTTATATTATTTATGGCTATTGTAAAGGGTGTTATTTCTCTGGTTTCTTTCTCAGCTCATTTATCATTTGAATATAGGATGGCTACTGGTTTTTTTGAGTTAGTCTTGTATCCTGTCACATTTCTGAAGGTGTTTATCAGCTGTAGGACTTCCTTGGTAGAATTTTTGGGATCACTTATGTGTACTATCATCTTCCACAAATGGTGCTGGCATAACTGGATATCTACATGTAGAAGAATGCAAATAGATCCATATCTATTGCCATGCACAAAACTCAAGTTCAAATAGATCAATGGCCTCAACATAAATCAAGTTACACTGAACCACATAGAAGAGAAAGTAGGAAGTAGCCTTGAATGCACTGGCACAGGAGATGACTTCCTAAATATAACACCAGTAGGACAGACACTGAGAGCAACAATTAATAAATGGGACCTCCTGAAAATGAGAAGCTTCTGTAAGGCAAAGGACACAGTAAATAAGACAAAAAGGCAGCCTACAGAATGGGAAAAGATCTTTACCAACCCCACATCCGATAAGGAGCTGATCTCCAAAATATATAAAGAACTCAAGAAACTAGACAGCAAAATATCAAATACTTCAATTAAAATGGGCTACAGAGCTAAACAAAGATTCTCAACAGAAGAATCTCAAATGACCAGAAGACATGTAAGGAAATGTTCAACATCCTTAGCTATCAGGGAAACGCAAATCAAAACAACTCTGATACCATCTTATGCCTGTCAGAATGGCTAAGATCAAAAACATAGATGACAGCTTATGTTGGAGAGAATGTGGAGAAAGGGGAACACTCCTCTACTGCTGGTGGGAGTGCAATCTTGTACAGACACTTTGGAAATCAGTGTGGCAGTTTCTCAGAAAATTGGGAATCAATCTTCTTCAAGACCCAGCAATACCACTCCTGGGCATATACCTAAAAGATGCTCAACCATACCACAAGAACATTTGCTCAACCATGTTCATAGCAGCACTATTTGTAATAGCCAGAACCTGGAAACAACCTAGATGTCCTTTAACAGAAGAATGGATAAACAAAATGTGGTACATTTACACAATGCAGTATTATGCAGTGGTAAAACACACACACACACACACACACACACACACACACACACACACACACACACACACATACACACAAAAAAAACCCATAAAATTTGTAGGCAAATGGATAGAACTAGAAAAAAGTCATTCTGAGTGAGGTAACCCAGACCCAGAAAGACAAATACAGTATGTACTCACTAATAAGTGAATGTTAGATGCAAAGCAAAGGATAACCGGGCTACCATCCACAAGCCCAGAGAACCTAGGTAAAGAGAAGGACACTAAGAGGGACACACATGGTTTGCCCCAGGAAGGGGGAAGGGTAAGATCTCCTGGGCAAACTGAGAGGGGGAATAGAGGGGAGGGGATGAGAGGGGATGGGAGGTGGGAACATGGGGGAGAGACAGGGAAAGAGAGCAATGAAAGAGATGTCTTGACAGAATGTACCATTAAGGGGATGGGGAGAAAGCTTCAGCTAGGGAAAACCCCAGGAACTCACAAGATTGTCCCCAGCTAAGACTCAGCAATGGTGGAGAGGGTTCTTGACCTAGCCTTCCCCTGCACTCATATTGGTGTCTACCCTAATTGTCATCATAGACCCTACATCCAGTGACTGATGGCAGCAGATGCAGAGACCCACAGCCAAGCACTTGACCAAGATCCTGAGTTCAGCTGAAGAGAGGGAGAAAGGGTTATAAGAGCAAGGAGGATCAGAATCATAATGGGAAAAATCATAGAAATAGATGACCCACACTAATGGGAGCTCATGGACTCTGGAGTGACAGCTGGGGAGCCTGCATGGGACTGAACTAGGCCCTCTGAATGTGGTGAAAGTTGCATGACTTGATGTGTTTGTGAGTCCCCTGGCGATGGGACCAAGACTTACCCTGGGTACACAAACTGGCTTTTTAGACCCCATTCTCTATGGTACAATGTCTACTCAGCCTTGATGCAGCAGGGAGGGGCTAGGTCCGTCCCCAACATGGTATGACAACCCGTGTTGACTACCCCAGGAAGGCCTTACCCTCTATGAGGAGGGGATGGGAGTGGGATGGGGGTAGGTGGTGGGGAGAAGGAGAAGAGGAGGGAGGGGGAACGGGGTTGGTATGTAAAAAGAAAGAAAAATTTTTTAATAAAAATTTATATGACAAAAAATATAGAATCAGTTATATGCTAGGGTCTATACTTTCTCTAGCAATGATTTTTGAACATTTTTACAGCATCATACCTCAATTACCTTCTATGGACCAGACTGAACTCAATCAAGGTAGTTGATTGTTACTCCCATGAATATCCTTGTCACTATTTTACTAGCAAACACATCTTGCTTAGCAGGTTGGTACTTCATCATGCTGGGTTCAGTACTTGATAAAGCCATTGATGTCTTCTTAATATCCGCTTGATAACAGCATATGGTGATACCGACAGCGGGTCGTAAGGGTCATTCAGTGTTTCGGCTGTGCTATGTTTGAATCCTACCCCAGCTACTCGGAAAAATATCTTTTGCAATTATAAAAAAATTAAAAATAAAAGGATTTGTGATGGATGGCAAGTTTCCACAGCCAAACTGTCCTAAATCATCTAACACTCAGATAAATCCTCAATAATTAGAAGCTCGGGCAAGATGTGAAGAAACTCCCAAGCTGAACACTACTGACAACAATGCCAGGATCAGCCTAGCCTAGAAGATCGCCTATCATATTATCTCACTGTATACACTGGTACTTCATTAAATATCTGTTTTGAGCAATTCTTGTTCTGCAGCAAAAGCAAACCCTTATAATAACCAATGGACATGAGGACAACTGTGTAATATGCTGCTTTGGAGTTTTCTGTGAATCAAAAGGTAATATTCAGCTTTTATTTTGTAAGTATGTCCAATATTCCATGTTTGGACATTGCTACATGGAGGTTATTTCCATAATAAAGGATTTTCATATTTGTATGGGAAAGTTAGTGAACCACAACTGCATGACTGGAAGGGAAATGAAGCTCTCTTACAGATGAAGACAGATGTGACTTGTGAGCACAAAGAAGACACATAATGAATAACACTGAATTGTTCATTCCTTGCCCCTCTACTGACAACTGCAGGATTTAGAACAGTGAGGAAATTTTACTTAGAACTTTACAGCAATCAGGTTTCTGGGGAAAATGGAAGTTCTAGAGAAAAACTAAAATGTTAACTTTAATAATAATAATAATATAATATAAACATGTCAGGCAGGGGCTGAGAGATGGCTCAGCAGTTTACATCACTTGTTGCTCTTCCAAAGGATCTGAGTTTTGTTTCCAGTGCTAAATTCAGGGGGCTCACAACTTCCCATTACTCCAGCTCCAGGAGATCTGAAACCAACTTATGGCCTTTGGCCCATGCAGTCATGTGCACAAGCCCATGCACACATGCACATAGACACAGATAAATATTTTTTAAATCTATCGATTAGTATTCAAAGAGTACTTATTTTAACATAGCAGAATTCATTTATATTTTAATGACTATATTTATTGTATGACAAGGAAATGTTTTCATAGTGATTGAACGTATGATGCATGTGTTTATATCAGTGTGTATAAGGTCTACTACCATTCAGAGGCAAAAGAAATCAATTCACTAAAAATTTGTTTTTCTCATTATATGCATTTGATAATAGGTTTCTCCCAATAATTATGATGGGTGTTGTGGATGCAGAACTGAAAAAGAGAACAAAATTTCCATGAAGACAAGAAAATTCTTTGCTGAGATACAAAGCACAGAAGTCTGTTAGAAGATGCAGAGTCAGGAATAAATACAAGAAGGCGGGAAGGGCCTGCACAACAACCACAGTGTCATCTACAGCTATGTAAATGGCCTCCATTGTTAGATGTGAGTCCACCCTCAGTGGAGGGAGCACAGAGGAGAAGCACACCACAAGACTATGTTTTAGTAATACCACAAGAAAAACAATTTTATACTCTGTAGTGTTAATGTAAATTACTCATAAGTGAAAGGAGAACCAGAGACGGTAAAAACCTTTATGAGGAAAGATGGGGTATGTTAAAGGACACCTGCACCATAAAAGAGGGAGAGACTGAGGGAGGTTACAGGGTCTAGCAGAGGTAACAGTGGGTGGGGGAGATGGAGAAGGGAAATCTACTAAGACATACTTTGCTTGAAAATGACATAATATATCTTTTATGCTAATTTAAAACATTTTTAAAAAGAAATTTACATCTTATGACATAAATGTGTATTTTTAGTATGTGTTACTTGTGACTTAAAGCAACTTTGAGAAAGTATGAAAGCTGTAAAAGGGAAAACTAATCAGGTACTGGGAGAAGCAGCATGCTTAGAGGTGAGCTGTCTACTTCATAGGAAATCTGAAGTCCAATGAATGGAGACAACAGCAGGTACATAAACATAATAGTTGCTCCTGTCCTCTCACCAAGAAAGAGGTTCTCTCCTCGATGAACTCTTTGGGAGTTTCATATGTTTTGGTCATATGAGCCCTCTTCTTCAGCTCTTCACAGATCTACCTCCCCATTCCATAACCATTCAAATTTTTGCCCTTTTATTTTGAAATCTTTTGAGACTAATTGGTGCTACTTAAATACTCTTGCATGTATGGCCTTCTAGTGGGAAGTGATCAACTTACCAGGGTCTACATTCTTAGAGCAGGCAGTCTCTTCTCCCAGCAGCTAAAAATAATTACATCAATGGGGTGGGATTGTGTGTCACCTCTCCTCTCTATGACTGGGTGTGTTCTGGCTCGGATTTTCAGGTTTGGGGCATGATATTGAAACTACTGTGAGTGCAGATGTGCAGATGTCTTGCTGGGCCTAGAAGACAATGTTCCCTTGTAGTCAGGCACTGCCTCGGGTTCTTAAACTCTTACATCCCTTCTTCCAAAATGATCTATCAGCCTTGGGAGTGGGATTGGTGTACATGTTCATGAGACAGAGGATAAGAGATTTCAAAATGTTCAGCCCTTAAACTGAAAATTCTTATTTCAAAATTTAAGACCCAAGACAGTAATCACTTTTCTAATTTCTCTCTCACAAAGTTCTTCCTCAGAGCTCTCTTGATGTCCTTGTTCCTCAGACTATAGATGAAGGGGTTCAGCATGGGGGTGACTACAGTGTACATCAATGAAGCTACTGCAATGGAGTGTGAGCTTTGGGTCATAGCAGAATTGAGGTACACTCCCAGGAGAGTACAATAGAATAAGGTGACAACAGAAAGATGAGCTGCACAGGTGGAAAAGGCTTTGTACTTCCCCTGTGCTGAGGAGATTGCCCTTATAGAGAACACTATCTTGGCATAAGAGTAAAGGATGCCAGCAAGACAACCACCACCCAGAATTGTAGCTAAAACATTCATTACCATATCATTTAAAAAGGTGTCAGAGCAGGCAAGGTGAATCAACATGCTAAGTTCACAGAAAAAATGTGGAATTTCCACATTAGCACAGTAGGAAAGCTGCAACACCAGGAAGCTTTGTAATGAAGAATTCAAGGAACTTGTGATCCAGGATACCAGAACCAGTGACACACAGAGCTGAGGTGTCATAATGCTTGTGTAGCGCAGCGGGTGACAGATGGCCACAAAGCGGTCATAAGCCATTACAGCCAGGAGGAAGTTATCCAGCCCTACAAATAATGCAAAAAAATATATTTGCATGATGCAGCCTTCGTAAGTTATGGTGTTGTGGTGTGCTAAAACGTTCACCAGCATCTTTGGGATGGTAGTGGAGGTTAGGCAGATGTCCACAAAGGACAGGTTGGAGAGGAAGAAGTACATGGCTGTGTGCAAGTGGAAGTCTGAGATCGTGGCCAGGATGATGACAAGATTCCCCAAAATGGTCACAAGATACATGGAGAAGAAGAGCCTATATATAAGGGGCTGCAGTTCTGGGTCTTCTGAAAGTCCCAGGAGAAGAAACTGTGAGTTTTCCGTATCATTGTGTTGTTTCATGTGCTGTAAGCGACTTCTGGAAAAGACAGAAATATTATGACTGCTTCTTGGCATGCACAATATTACCAACTATAAAAACCACAATGGAATAAATTCACGTAAAGAATAAAGTCCCCAAGGACAAAACATAAGAAAGAAAACAGTCACAATGGCTGGAGAATTCAAAGAGATTATTACAGAATGAGATCTCATCATTCCCAGAAACACAGAGGTAATATATTCAAAGTAATGTTCCCAATGTATTATTGGATTCATTTGTCTATAGCCAGCATTATAGGCTATTTGTGTAGCTTATCAGCATGCATATATATATGTATATGTGTGTGTGTGTGTGTGTGTGTATGTATACATACATGTGTGCTGTGGGATGTCCTGTATGCTGTAAATAAATGTTACTATAATTGATTGATAAATAAAATGCTGATTGGCCAGTAGCCAGGCAGGAAGGATAGTGTAGGTGGGACAAGGAGGAGGAAAATTCTGAGAGGTAAAAGGCTGAGGCAGGGAGAAGTAGCCGGCCACCACAAAGAGAAGCATGATGTAAGATACCAGTAAGCCACAAGCCATGTGGCAAGGTATAGATTTAAAAAATATGGGTTAATTTAAGATGTAAGAACTGGATAATAAGGAGCCTGCCACAGCCAAACAGTTTATAAGCAATATAAGCGTCTGAATAATTATTTTATAAGTGGGCTTCGGGACTGCAGGACTTGGCAGGACCCAGAAAGAAACTCTGAGATTTGTCCTGACCATGGGCCAGGCAGGACCAGGACTTCAGCTACACATGTGCATACACACACACACACACACACACACACACACACACACACACACACACACACACGTGAAGGGTTTCTTAATGGCATCTTCATTCAGGTATTTATTCACTCTGATTAGATTCAGGTTTACAGTCCTGTGTTCCCCCTCCCATACCCAACTAGTCAGCTCCATTTTTCAAAGTATTTGTAAGGAACACTGGGCTGCAACTGCACAGATGGCTCAGCAGTTAAGAGCACTTGCTCTATCAGGGGCCCAGGTTTGGTTCCCATCACCCATGTGGTGGCTCACAACCAACCATGACACCAGTTCCAGGGATCCAAATCCCTCCTCTGGCCTCTGGGGGACATATATGGTGCACATACATACAAGCAGGTAAAACACTCATGCATTAGATAGATAGATAGATAGATAGATAGATAGATAGATAGATAGATAGATAAATGTGAACATTAAAAGAACATTGGCCTGTGCTTTACTTTCTTGTTCAGTCCTTGTATACCCAAATCGTGGCCCTTTTAATGTAGCTGCCTGAGGGCTAAACAACAGAGTGGAGTCATGATCCACTTGGATCCCAGAATGCTTGTTGGGATAATAAAATGTTGCATGATTCTCCCCGTGTACATGAGATGATTACAGCAGTCAGTCTCACAAAGTCATGAGTAGAAAGGTGGGTGGCATAAGTAGGAAGGAGGAAATGTGGAGCTCATTTGGATGGATGTCACCTTTCAGTTATATAAGCAGAATAACTTACATACACCTATGCATACAGGGCCTGTGCAAGATGTGGCAGTGTGCACTTTAAGTTCTGCTATGTGGACTGGCCTCAGCCAGTATTTCTGCCATAGAAAATAACAATGAGAGTCAGTAAAATGGCTCAGAAGGAAAATGCACTACTGTGCCCAATGAGCTGAGGTCACATAGTGGAAGAAAAGAACTGACTCCTACCAGTTGTCCTCCAACCTCCACACACACACCATGGCATGTGCACCCATATACATATACATGCGCACACACACACACACACACACACACACACACACACACACACACACTTAGGAAAAAAGAACGACATTTTAAAATAAATAATACCAGGGAACTAGGAGGTGATGCTGTGTCTGTAGTGTGGGTCACAATGACGGGACTGCGCAAGGGTCTGCAATGTGTCTCACCTTATCCCACTGCACACATTACACACAGATAGGTTTTAATGTTCCAATAGAGCTGCTTACAGCAGAAGCAAAAGAGGTAGCACAGAGTTAAAGAATCCTCTGCACCTGGAAAATCTTAACATTTTAACATCACATAAATTATTTCACTTTTCCCTTACAATAACTTATACCCATTGCACCAAAAGGGAACATCTGTAAATATAATGAAAACTTCAAGGTCTATAAAAATATGAGTACAGGAACCAGATTGGTTGCATGTGCCTGTAATCCCTGTGCAAAGGAAATTAAGGCGGAAAATTGTGAGCTGAGAGCAGTTTAGGCAACATGGTGGTACCATGCTAAAAAAAATGATTTTTATGAATTTATGTAGATGAACTTTAGTTGAGTGCAAAAGAATATGTTTTGAAAATGCCTTCTGAGGAACCCCTCTTGCTCTCAGGAGTTCTTTCCCACTTTTCCTTACTACAGTTATGTTTGGTCTGCTCAAAAGAAAAGGCTATGGTGTAGAGAATGACAAGATACGATTGCTATAAAGATATTGAATAAACCCCAAAGGCAAAACAAACCCTGAAGAAAAACAGACATGAAACAACCTACTAGAGGCATTAAAAGCAGTTATTACTAACAACATAGCAGATCTCTCCAGGGTAAGAAGTTCGGGGTGATGAGTATCGCAATGAATTGCAGACAGAGTACATTACCTAGATTTAGAACATTCCATAGGTCTGCCTTTTACCCATACATATATATGCAAACAAAAATCTAGGTGGGACTCTTAAAACACTGAGAAAGAAAAACCAACAACAAAATAAAACAAAAACCCTCCACTTCTCAATTTGTTGAAAGAATGAAAAGACAAAAATATTTGTTATCTATACAAGCAGAGAATTTGTAAAAACAAGTTAGAACTTTCCAAATGTCAGTAAGGATGCTAACAAACCCCCAAATTTATCTAGTGTTAGTGGGAAGGGAAGAATTAAAGCATAAAGTCCTTGCATTCTCCCTCTTACCTATCACAACGCATGTTATATGTGAATTATCAGTGTGACAGAAGACAGTGGGCAATGTATATCTCATAGATATCCGTGTTTAAGGTAGTATTTGTGAACAATCAACCAACAGTCTGATGTTTGTATCAAATATGTCAATGGGATAAACCATGATGCATGCTTCAAAAAACTTTTAGAACCCTCTTCGCTTTGCTGCACACACATCCACACCTAGTGGTCACAGTTCCTCCTCCACAATTGCAAAAACCTTCTACGTGTTCTATCATAATTCTATGGGAAACACTTTGTGCTACATCTCCATTCAGTCTGATGCAATCATTTTCCCATTCCCATCCCATTATCAAAAATTACCCATGCATTGGAGTCTAAAAGATACTTCTGTTTCTTAGTACATTAACTAAGGTTCCACTCAATTGTTGAAGCAAGCAAAACAAAGCAAGATAAAACAAATTGCCAACCCCTCAGGCCCACACTAGGGCGGCTGGCTTCTGGCAGGCATCAGGCACATTCTGTCACCTTCCATTCTTCATGCACTGTTCCTGATGCACCTACTGGGTCTCAGACTCAGCTGGATGGGTCCTCTGTGAAGCTTCCTATACAGAGGTCTTAATTCTTCCCTGGATGGCTTTCTGTAACTCTGCTCCAGGAAAGACTTTGACAATGAAGGAAGTAGTGGTCCCCAATCAATAGGTGGACTGCAAATGGAAATAGTTTAACCTGTCCATCTGAGAATCGTCTCCTACGAGGACAAGGGGTGATGCCTTTGTTGCTTGTTCTATGCTCATTACATACAATCCCAAGCTCTAAGCACCTAACTGATTTCCCTGGGGGACACTGGTCTGAGCAGAAAAGAAAATTTCCTGTTCATGTTATATTCCCACGAGACCTGGTGAGAAACAGGTGAACCCAGACCTCATTACTCCTTCACAGACCTACCTTCCTGAAAGCTAACTCCCTTAGCAGGTTTGCCCAACCTTCACTTTCAATTTTCTTTCAGGTCTAACTTCCTGAATTTGCTAGATTCTCTGGAATTCTCAAGACTTGAAGTGTGGATGACACATATCCTTGTGGATTTGGAGGGGACATCAGTCTTCATGAAGGGAGAGAAACACCATTCATAAAATATGAGAAGCTACTACAATGCTCAGACTCATGAAGATTTTTACAAGGCATTTAGGAGATTTATACTAGAAATATAAATTCAGGACTGTCATTTATTCCTCAATTTATAAAAATTTTGGTAAGTATAAGAGCCTTATTTACAGATTTTATTCTCTGTGGGCTGAAGTTATAATGTCATGTCACTTAATTTAGACACATATCCATTGCTTTCTGTATCCAGAATATGTGGGTTATGTGGATATGTGTCTGATAATAGTATGAGCTAATTCCCCATCTGCAGAAATAAGGCTCAGGGTCTATAGCCATACTATTCTGAATGCACATGACCTGGTCTGTTCACAGAAGCTAAGCAGAATCACATCTATATAGAACTTGGATGGGAGACTGCCCTGAAATAGATGCTGTAGGCTTATATTCAAAATAAATAGTTTTCATAGACTTAAAAAGTTGAAATGGTACTCTGAGAGGGCAAGTGATGAATTGAGAAATGTTAATAAAAATGCTCTCATTCTTCAAGCTACAGGTTAGAATTTGTCCTCCAGAGAAGCTCAATCTTCAATGAGACATTTGGCCACATGGAGTACATGCAGGGTTTTACAAGTGGAGAGTTTGTGCTTTACCTAGTGGGTAGATGCTAAGATGCTGCCCAGACTCCTAGAGAACACAGAACCTGAACTATAATGCATAGCTACCACAGCTGCCAGTTTGGGGAGGTTTTGAAGAATCATTCGAGCCCAGAACTTCTCCAGCTTCAGCATGAACAACAGAGCCACCACACCCATCTATAAAACATGTCTATTGCATGTAATGTATTTTACTTTCTCCTCTTTCCTCCGCTTAACTGCTTTGAGATCCACTCCCACCACTCAGACCCTCTAAACTTCACTTTCTTTTCATCTTTTTATAACTAACTGAATATGAGTGCTGGGGCCCACTCATGGGTGTGCAGCCATACACTGGAGCATGGTAAACCAACCAGGTGTTACATCCTCTGCCTCTCTCCCCCAGCAGACTTTGACTTCAATAGCTCCCCAGTGAGGGATATGAGTTGTAGTCTTTGCCCTCTTCATGCTGGAATTCTGTTTGGCTGGACCTAGTACAGGTCTTTTGC